CCCCAAAACCCCAAAACCCCAAAACCCCAAAACCCCAAAACCCCGTATGTATAAATTGGTGTTGAATTTTAATTCCTAAATTACAGGATTTTGTTTCTAATATGAAAAACAATCAAGTTATACCTAGAAGGTAAGCTAGCCTATTTTGGGTGATGTCTTTAATTTCAGAATGTGTAAATTTGTTTTAGATTACAATGCAGCGATCTTGCATGCAAAAATCACAGGTTTTACTTCTGCAGAGACCATCAAGTTTATTCTTGCAAAGGATGCTCTAGCAAAATGCATTACAAATGCCAACTTGTTATAATCCAAGACCTCACAGATCTCAGAACTGATGTCAAAGAGGTTCAGAGACATGTCACGAGGTTTCAGGAACTCGCAACGGAGAATGGGTTGGAAGTGTATCTTTCTAACATTGATAGTGTCATCAAAGACTATCAGGGAGACTTGGCTGAGATTGAAAGAAAGATAAATGAAGCCATTGCTCATGATCACTATGAGAAATATGACACTCTCAGATCTCAAATAAGGGAGTACGCCTCTAACTATCTTCAAATTTACACTCTTCTACTGAGAGAAGTTTTATCAGCTCACATTTGATATAGGATACAGAATCAAATGGCTGATGAACAAGTCGTCAAAGATATCTTGTTCTTGTCCACCACTAGAGATGCGAGTAGATATGTCTTTCCGAGGGTCAGCGATGGTAAGCAACAGGTCTGAAGTATAGAGTTTTCTTCTGCCATCAAGGTTGAGCAAATAATTGATTCTGTCATCAAGCAAAATGTAAAATTTATGGAGGAAAAGTTGACAAAAGAAGCCAGTGAAGTTGAGCAGCAATGCAAAGACAGGCTCTCAGAAGAATTCAAAGAGCGTATCCAGACATTACAAGCTCAGAAAGAAGCCCAAGACATTGAAATAGAAGAACAGAAACAAGCGACAGAGCAGGTGCTCAGACAAGCCCAAGATATGCTGGAACAAAAACAAGAAGTATTCGCTGAGAATCAGATTCTACAGAACCTGAAGGAGCAACTTGAAAGAGAGCTATCAAAGAAAGTAGAGGAGATCAAGCAAGCCAAATATCAAAACAAGAAATATCAGGAGGAAATCTCCAAAATGAGTGAAGGTAAGTAAACTAAAGATCATCCCATAGGAATCCAAGAAAATGAAAGTCATATAGAAGAGTCCAAAGAAACGATCATAGATCGTATCAAAAGTATCTGCCCTGACTTCAACCCTAAGTCCAAAAATTTAGAACTTCACATGTCAGAAGACAAATCCAAGAACTTAGTCAAATCAATTGGAGCATCCAAATACTCTTTGGGAGATATGAACAGACTCCAGATTGATAAGATCTCCAATGAAGACCATACTCTCAACAACTTCCTCAAGAACTGCAGCCACTCCTCCTTCAGACTGCTTTCATTTAACGACAGATATCTTGGATCATACGGAAGTGAACCTGTGAAGATAAAATTTTACGAGGAAGGAATGCAAAACCTGCTTGCCAATGTGACCAAAGAGGTTTATTTGAAATACTTGATAGTTGATGCAAGTGACCTGAGCCAGATTGTGAAGGCTTGTGTGAACTCTGAAAGGTTGACTATTGGTTATAGCAAAATTTTAACTTCGGACTCTTTGGACTTCTCCACTCCCGCTCAGACCAAACTCCAGTATCTCAGTTTTTGCTATTGTGGAGCTACGAACTGGGGCAGCCAAAAATGGGACAAGTATCCAGCCAGGTTTGAGAAGATTATAGTAGCCATTAAGAATTCCTCTCTCAAGAACTCCCTCGACACCATTAGTATCTATGCTTGTAGTATCTCAGTATCTAAAGTAAATGAACTGTTGGCTGCACATGGTCTCTCCCATATCAGTGTGGATGAGTGAGGAAACATACCTCTGACGGAATAACTCTAAGTTGGTTGAAGGATTTGAGGAATTAGTTTTTGGCTAGTTTTAGAGAATGGGCTGAATTTTAGGGTTAGCTAGTTTTAAGAAAATTTTATTGAACTTATTTTGTTCTTTAGGCTTATTTGGCAAGTATTAATTTTGATATTGGTGTATTTTCAACTTCTAGAACTTGCTGTGGGGTTTTGGGGTTTTGGGGTTTTGGGG